TTTAAAATATAAGTTATATATATTTTTCAAAAAAATAGCTTTGAAATAGGTATTCAAATCCTATTTGAAAGAGTAATTGACGGAATCTCACTATAAAATAGCTTTTAAATAGCTATTTAATTCCCATTGATGACAAACGAGTCAGTTAGAATAGTTTAAATAGCTATTTTTAAACTATTTTTGCATATCTTCTTTGGAGCCATTCTTAACATAATTATTAAATAGTAAAATAAATAGGTCTTAAATAGCTATTTGATTCCTATTCATAGAAAATTGTGGCGAACTTTGTTCAAAATAGCTATAAAATAGCTATTTTTAAACTATGTTTGCTTTTATTTTTGGAGATATTATTGAGTATTGTTAAAATAGTTATTAAATAGGAAAATAAATAGATCTTAAATAGCTATTTAATTCCTATTCATAGAAAGTTGTGGCGAACTTTGTTCCAAATAGTTATTAAATAGCTATTTTTAAACTATGTTTTCTTTTATTTTTTAATTTTTAGAGCCATTCCTAGAATAGTTATTAAATATCAAAATAAGTAGATGCTAAGTAGCTATTTAATTCCTATTCATAGAAAGTTGTATCGAATTTTGGTCAAAATGGCTATTAAATAGCTATTTTTACACTATGTTTACTTTTATTTTTAGAGCTATTGTTAAAATAGCTAATAAATGGCACAGTGCCTTTTTTAAGGAATTTTTACAAGGGGCGGGGGGGGGGCAAAACAGGAAAAAAGGCAGAACGAAAAATATGACCCATCGAAGTTTGGCGAACACGCGAGTCTGAAGAGAGATTTTGTAAAACTTGAATTTATTAACTTCTCCTATATAGACAATAACTTCAACCCTTTGTAGCTATAATTGTACAGCTATAACCAGTGGCGTAGCCAGACCTTAATTTTTTTTGGGGTGGGTGGGGGGGGGGGTTCGAACAGTCTAGGAGGGTCCGGGGGCATTCACCCCCGGGGAAATTTTCAAATCTAGGGTCCTTGAATTGCAAGCGATTTCAATCATTTTGGGAGTGAAATTCCGAAGAGTTCCGAAGATTATAAAGTGCATCGAAAACATGAATTTTTCCAGACATTTCTACTCGGAATTAAATACATTGGAAAAGTCACCTTGAGGAGACTAGGAGGAGGGGTCAGTGTCACCTTATTTCCTCTCTGTGATGCTGGAGGGGATCTCTATGTGATTTTGATCAGAAATGTTGCATTTAAATCATTTTCGGTTCTATGAGACACCATTTCCGCATTCTCAAAATTGCGTTGCTTTTTCATACGATGCAGAATAAATCTGAGAAGAAACATTCGTGCTATGATGATGAATACATGTAATTAACAGTAAAAAATCTAAACTAAATCTATTCTTCTTGGACCAGCATTTTATCGGATTGTTTGCATGAAATCTATCGCTATTATGAAATACTCGGTGAAGAACAATATGAATTACACACAAGATAGCTGTGGAGGAGGCTATGGAAGGGCATAATCTCATTATCAAGTAAATCAACAGCATTTCTGACAGCAATCATGATCAATTCTGCTTCGCACTTCGGGGGCAGAAATGGCTTTACTGGGGGGGGGATTCTTTCCCTGGGGGGCAATTGCCTCCCCCCCCAGATATATAGTTAAAAAAGGCACTGAAATAGCAAAATAATTAGATCTTAAAAGCTATTTATTTCCTATTCAAATACAAAGTTGTGAGAAATTAGAAAGGGTAAATGTATTTATTTAACTGGTCAAAATTTCCCAGTTTGAGTTAGTTAATTTTAAATTTTTCATCAGTTCATTGAAATTATATTTACAAAAATATTTATAGTCTTTGTGGACTTTGTGGAGGTAGGTATTTTGTCTCTTGACAAAACAGCATTTTTGACAAAACACCATGCCATGAATACCACCAAAAATTCTTACGACGAGCGCAGTTTGACAGACTGGTGCCTAATTTTCTTACAACGCGCGCAAAGCTTTCTGGGATAGCGTCACAATTCACAACGCCATATTTTAATTTTTTTTTGTTTTAAACTTTCCGCTCGAAATGGCTCAAATACAGAGCTTTTATTGAGCGAAAGTGTTACTTATTGTAAAGATAAAAGATCAGGGATGACTGGGAAACATCCAGGTAAGAATTTTGTTATGTTTTATATATAAATAGAGCAATTTTGAAACGAAATATTTACTATCTTCATTCGTGAATTTTGAGCACATGTTCCGGCTTAAAATTTCAATTTGCTGCGACAATATTTGAATTAAAACAACATTAGTTTTATAGAATGGCTTACATTTGACTCAGCCTTTATATTTTTAAATGATGTTTATTGTAATGCCAAATAGTATACTTTGATCTTTGTGTATACTATAGTGTATATGACAGATTGCCAGATTCCAGTGTTTGTTGTATAAAATACAAAGTGGCTTGACATGATGGCATCTACTCAATTCTCATATGCCTACCCAGACATGTCCCAGCTAAACATGGTTTGAGAAAATTTATCGACTGGTTTCAAATTAACTGGTACTTTCATAAGTTTCCAATATTTATTCATATATAGGTGGGTGAGTTTAGGATAGATAAAAATATCAATTTGATGTGTTGTTGTCATATGTGGCAACTTGATTATAGATGTGTCCCTAACTGAAAACAGTTAAAGTCCTTAGTTTGCTTGTTCAAACTTATGAATACATTTAGTTAATAGACCACATGTTCTGCTTAATAATATATGTAACAACCTTTGGGCTACATTTTATATATTGTAGAGACACCCCGGCAAGGGTTTGATTGTTTTTGGAATTACCCATTTCACTCCAATGAGCCCAATATTCAGCACTTTGTTATTAAATATTATCTTGCCTAATGCCGGACAATTTTATTCATCAAGGGAAGTGTCTAGCTAGCGTACTAGACTCTCCCCATGTTTTATGTTGACATCAAACACTTACTACTTAAGTACTTTGATATTATTATTTAACTCTGACATTTCATGCTAGACAATTTTACTTACCAATTTTACTTATCGCCCATATCTCACCTAAATATTAACACCTATAAAGGAGCAATTTGCTCTTACCTTACTTACTTGAAGAATGAAGTTCTTTGTAGGGTGTGCAGGATAGAATGTTTTTGCTATGCAGCTCCATACAGGGTATATGTTGGATAGTTGAAAAATATCCAGCTAGATTCAGGGTATTATTCAAATATATAAATGTTTTTTCTAACCTGTAAAGAAGGCCTGAACTAGCTGCAGCTGAGCTTCACCCTATTCTTGATGTTACATGATGTTCTTGCTTTTTTTCTGCCCTGTCCCCAGCCAAGTTACTGCATGTATGTATATACTTAACTCTTTGGCTACCAAAGAGACTGCTAACTACAGATTTTTAACTCATTTATTGACAGACCTCTACCTACTGATAAGTAAAATTGTCTGGCATTTACAGACGGTAAATACTAAAGTAAGGTCCGTAATAGCCTCTGATGTTTCAGCACTTCTACACTTGTTCTCAATTTTTTAATAATTATATTTTATTTAAAGACTATTTACATTATATGTTTTAACTTTTTATTATCTATGTTTTAACTACTGGTATTTATAATATATTTTGAAAATATTTATAGGCTATATGTATCTGTATACACTATATTTAATAACTATTTTAACTGTATTAACAGGACATATTTTAACTATTTATTTAATATGTTATTACTATTTTTAAACTATTTTTAATCTATTTGGGCAATATTATATCCACTATTTATTATCTATTTTTAACAAGCTGGGATGTATTTTAACTATTTATTATCTATTTTTAAACTATATTATCACTATTTTTGAACTATGTATTATCTATTTTTAAACTATATTATCACTATTTTTGAACTATTTATTATCTATTTTTAAACTATATTATCACTATTTTTGAGCTATTTATTATCTATGTTTAAACTATAATATCACTATTTTTGAACTATTTATTATCTATTTTTAAACTATATTATCACTATTTTTGAACTATTTATAATCTATTTTTAAACTATAATATCACTATTTTTCAACTACTGTATTTATTGACTATTTTAAACTTAGTTGAAACTCATTTCAACTATTTATTACATATTTTATACCTATATTGTCACTATGTTTTAACTATTTCATACATATTTATTAACTATATCGAAACTATATATTTTTAATAATTTCCTTAAATAGCTCTATTTTTATCATATTTGAAACCTATTTAATTTCTATTCGAGTACATCAATTAAGTATTTGTTTAGAAATATATCATGAATAGGAAAAAATATGGTTCCACTTGGATAGGAAAAAAATAGCTTTTCTACCCCAATAGGAAAAACCTCGAAAAAAAATAATAGTAAAAATAGGAAATAAATACTTTGACAAATAGGAATTAAATAGCCCAATAAAATAGGAATTAAATAGCAATTAAATAGTGTTTGGTTCTACAAGGGCCGAGTCAGCAGCAAGCGATCCCCCTGGGTAACCAATGAGTAAGACATTTAATTTTCAATCTTGATTTCTTAAAAAAGAGAGCCATCTTTTCTAAAGATTCACAAAAATGGTCTCAATATAGACATGCAAGAAATCAGGTCAACAATTAAATCAAAAAAGCAAAGCGACTTTACTTTACCAAAAATCTTGATAAACATAAAGGAGATATGAAAAAAACATGGAAGTTAATTAATGAAATAAATTCGAGAAACTGTACGAAAATGAAAAGAATTTCGGAAATTAAAATAGGCGAGCAAGTTGTAACTTCACCTGTCGAAATAGCTGAAACGTTTAATAGCCATTTCTCAAATGTTGGGATTGATCTTGCAGCTAAAATACCCGCTTCTGAGTATAACCCAGAGGTCTATCTCACACCTACAGATAAAACGTTCAACCTGCAAACTCCTACGATTGGTAGAGTCCACAGATTGTTGAAAACGATTCATGAAAAAAAATCTGTTGGTCTTGATAAAATACCAAATAAATTGTTAAAAATGGCGGCAGATGTGATTGCGCCTTCTTTAACAGAGATATTTACAAAATCTATTCATACTGGAATATTTCCAGATGAATGGAAGGAAGCAAGGGTGTCGCCAGTGTATAAGAACGGTGCAAAGCATGATCCGAGCAATTATAGGCCTATATCGGTGATTCCAACGGTTTCAAAGGTTTTTGAGAAAATTATCTTTGACCAACTTAATAAATATTTTAACGACAACAATCTGTTGACCACCTGTCAATCTGGATTTCGGTCATTACATAGTACAGTAACAGCGTTGCTGGAGGCTACAAATAGCTGGTCTGTTAATATAGATAATGGTCTAATTAATGGGGTTGTTTTTATTGATCTGAAAAAAGGCTTTGATACTATTGATCATCAGATAATTTTACAGAAATTAGAACATTATGGTACCGACGATAATAGTTTAAAATGGTTTGAATCATATCTTACTGGCAGAACACAAAAATGCAAAGTTAATAATCGGCTACCAGGTTCGACGTCAGTAACGTGCGGAATCCCACAAGGGAGTAATTTGGGTCCGTTACTGTTCCTTATCTATATTAACGACCTGCCAAATTGCCTCCACCACGCCACTCCTAGAATGTTTGCAGCCGATACGAATGTAAGCTTTGCAGCTGATTCTCTGGAAGAGCTCCAAAGTGTTATTAATTCTGAATTAGAACATCTTAAAAGCTGGCTTATTACAAATAAGCTCAGTTTAAATATTGCAAAAACAGAGTTTATGACAATTGGATCTCGACAGAGAATCAATGCTACTCAAGGTAGTATAACCATTAAGCTTGATGGTAGTGAAATCAACAAAGTCGATACTGTTAAATCCTTAGGAGTACATATTGACAAACACCTTTCTTGGTCAACCCATATACAGAAAATAACTAAGAAAATTGCTTCAGCCATTGGTGCATTAAAACGTTTTAGACCATTTGTAAGTACGAGAACAGCTGTTCAGGTTTATCAAGCCTTGATACAACCTCATTATGACTACTGCTCCTCGGTCTGGGACGGTTTTGGAGAAACTCTCAGTAATAAAATACTACAGAACCAAGCAATAAGAGTCATTACGAGGTCGCACTATGATGCAAGCGCTAGTTCTCTTTTGAATAATTTGCTCCTAGACAATCTTTGTTTACGACGCAAAAAGATTAAGGCTGGAATTATGTTTAAAATAATCAATGGTGATGCACCATCTTACCTACAAAATCTCTTCTCTGTTCCCGGCAGTGGGTATAACTTAAGATACTCTGAAATAAAGCTAAATTTACCTAAGCCACGAACTAACTATTTAAAACGATGCCTTTGTTATAGTGGAGCCTTATTGTGGAATAACTTGACTCAAAATATACGAATGCTTCGTTCGTTACCACTATTTAAGAATTCCTTAAATTATTATTATTATAATTTGTAAAATGACTCCCACACGGCAATCTTGGAAATCAGTTGTAATTTTTTTAATATCTAATTAATGTACTGAAGATTTTACCGTGTTAAAATAAAGTTTTATTGTATTGTATTATTGTATTGTATTGTATTCTAATCGTAAGCTTTGCATTCGGAATTTCTCTTCCATTTTCTTTTGGGCTAGGGCAAGTTCTTGTTGTTGTATTTCCATGGCAGACTGGGACAATCGCAATGGTCGCCATCTTTGCATTTCTACCTTCTTTAGTGCCGCTGTAGCCTCAGCTCTTGTAAGAGCTCGAGCGGCAGTGGAGGATGTTGCGGAGCTGCGAGAACAATGTAACGGGAAATTCGGGAATGGAAAATAATTTCAAGCAAAAGTTCCTTTTTCCGCTCGTTTGCTTCGTTTATTACTGTACGAATGTACTCGCTACGATTATTTACGAGTTTCTGCAGTGTTTCGTATTCGTTTTGGTGTTTGGGGTCGCTGAGGTTAGCGAGAAACTCTAAGAGCGACAAAGAAACGGCGTGGTACTCGTGGAATAGCGAACGTACTTCTGATGTATTGGATTTTATTTGATTTACCGAATCGGGCGTTTATTGGAATTTACCCACAGCAGTTGACGTGTTTTGCCACAATTTGTCAAGCTTTGAATGATCAGACTGAACTGTGTTTTCGATAGACTTTTCGGTGGGTTTTACTAATCTTTTGGGACTAGAGGATGGGTCGTTTGTCGAGACAGACTGGGCTTGCTTTATCAGGTTTAGTACTGTTCATTTCGTTTTGACCCGTATTTTCAACGGTATTTTCAGCCGTATTTTGCGATAAAAACGTATCTATTGTTCCTACCTCGGGATTGTCGACGGTGGTTTTATCTGCCATTGAGCTGTTCGTTGTAAAAGAATCGTGTTCTTTTTTAGTTGAGCCGTTTTGTAGCGCATTTCGAGCACGCTACAAAAATATCTTCGAAATCAGTTCGTCTTTCTCGATGTATACACGCGAGGAAAGTGACTCTTTTTTTACTATTCCGTTCCTTCGAGTTAAGCGAGGCTTTTTCCCCTTCAACAGCAGTATAACAAGGACGAATAAGTTTGAAAATGATGCTTTTATTCGCTAAAATTAACTTTGTAAAAAAAGAATGTTCACTGAGGCGTGAGTACCGCGAAAACGAGTGAATAATATCAAAGGCTATTGAAAGTATCTATAGGGGACATAGTGGCCAGAACACTTACCAAGAACTAATACGATTATGCCCGTTCCATCTATAAATAATTTCTTTACATCCCTGTTATATTCTTCTAGATTTCAAAACATATTCTTCAGTAATGCCAACTCTTTCATTCTCGGCGATCCTTGACGACATATTTTAGGAAGGCTTACTTTCAAATTTGATTTTGAAGTCGTTTTGTGTGTTTCACCACGATTTTGAACTTTTCTCAGTACTAGAAGACGATTTTGAGGTAAATAAACCGACTTTTCTTGCAAAAATTATCATTTTGGTAATTTATAGCGGCAAATTATAATATAATCTATAGTGTTTGTTTACGCTCGCGTTCCTGAGTCCCAGGCCCCCAAGCAAAATTTAGTAGGACGGATTTTTTCAAAAATGTCAAAATTGCCATGTTGGAAGGCCTATATCCCAGAAACTATTGAACTAAATCAAAAAAGGTTGAAGAACTCGCTATATAACTTTTTGCGCTCTTTTCAAATCTTGGTGAGCGCTTGTGAGCGTTTTTGAGCTCTGTATCTGACGAGATATTATTGAACTTAGAGTCCTTTCAAATGGACTCGGAATCCAGAAAATCAACTAAGGATACCACAAATACAAATTGTGATCTTAATGAAAATTTAAAACTTTCCTGAACGGGAGATTTTGAATCTCTTGAACAATTTATTGAAGCAAATACATTTACCGAAGGTGACTGGCGATCCCCAGGCGACGAAAGAAAAGCTTACAGTGATGGAAATACTACAATAACGTGGTGGAAAAAGATAAAGAAAATGGATTTTAGTGGGTTTCGCCATCCACTTATTCCCAGCCCTATATAAATAGTAAAGATTGGAGAAACTATCTAAGACTAGTTAATCGTGTAACAACGAGCCAAACTGTTCGACCAATTGCACGGGTTGACATTATTAAGTCTCTCCAAGATGCAAATAGCGAAGGTCAAGGGAATTCATCTATAAATTAATCTGGCCCTAGTGATGACAGCATAGATAGATAGATAGATATTTAATAAATTTCTCCCTAAAAGGGTTTTTCAGAAATTATTTACAGTTACATGCATGCAGTAATAATTAAGGTTACAAATATAAGTTTAAACAATTATCAAAGACTATATACAAAGTTTAGTTGGTTATACTAAATGCTATCTTTTGCAAGCAAATGTTTTTTAAGTGCTACTTTAAAAATTTTAAGTGAAGAGCAGTCTTTCAAGTTCTTGTCTAAATTGTTCCAAATATGGACGGCTCTATATGTAAATGATCGTTGGCCAGCTGCAGTCTTAAATAGTGGTATTTGAAGAGAGTCGTGTGTACGAGTCCTACGGTCGTGGATTGATGACCTTTTTATCAATTTGTTACAAAGGTAGTCGGGTGCTAGGTTGTTCATACATTTATAAGTCAAACTGGCGTCTCTAAAATATAGTAGTTTGTCTACTGGGAGCCAATTCAATTCACGTAGAAGTGGAGTTACGTGGTCAAACTTCCTGGATTTCGTGACGATTTTGCAAGCAAAGTTCTGGATCGACTGAACTTTCTTCACGTTGGAGGCAGACGTATTCGACCACACCGAAGAACAATAAACCATTTTGCTGATGACCAAGGATGAAATGACTTCCGATAAAGTTTTTGTGTCGAAACTATTTTTTGTACGATTTATCTGACATAATTTGTTCATACACGACGAGACAAGAAGCGAGACATGTTTGTCGTAATTTAGGTGTCTATCTAATGTGACACCTAAATCTTTAGCAGAGTCCACTGGTTTAAGAGACTTGCCCAAGAAGGAATTTGATGTGTCTGTAGGTAGTTTGCTCATCATCTGCCTTGTTCCGATCATCATGTACTTTGTTTTCCCCGGGTTAATTAAAAGGTGGTTTGCACAGCACCAACTTGCAACTCTGTGTAGGTCTCGCTCGAGATTTGCAATTGCTGCATCAATCTGACAGCATACATCCTTGTGACCCTACCCATGACCATAACCAACATTATCCCATCCCAACGCGCATCACTCTACGTACCTCATCAACAAATCGGTGGAGAAGAAAGTCTTGCAAATCCTTGAAAAGCAAACAGGCTAACAGAGGAACAAGCAAATGGGCTAACAGAGGCAAGTTTTTTCGATTTCGCGTCCCACGTATCACCAAACCGGTTGGCTGAAAGACAAACACGAACGGAAGAGCAGGTATAGCTATTACTACTAGAAGAATATGCACCACTGAGTAACGCACGTAAATCCAATTTAATTAATATCCCTTTGGAAAAGAACAACGATAAATAAAAAAATGGAAAATTTCTTCCAAATGGAATGCTTTTAAATGCAAGATCAATTATTAATAAAACAGATGAATTGGAATTATTGGTTATTACTAATGATATAGACATAGCTTGCATCACTGAGACTTGGTTAAAGGAAACTGTTCCCGATAAAGCTGTGGCTGTTTCTGGAATGACATTGGTTAGAAATGATAGAACGTATGGTACAGGAGGGGGTGTTGCTTTATATGTGAATAACAAAGTACAATTTAAAATTCCCAAGGACTTGAATGAGCCCTAGTTTGAGTGTCAATGGGTTACATTACGTCCAAAATGGTTACCAAGAGCAATATCTAAAATTGCGGTCTGCTGCGTATACCTACCACCGAGTCATAGCGAGATAGACAGTTTTTATGATTACTTTTATAATTGTTATGACAAACTCTGTACTGAAAGTCCTAACTCAGCTTTCATTGTTTCGGGCGATTTTAACCCAACGAGTAACGGCTTTCAACAGAGTCGATTAAACAGACACTGCAGTCTTAAACAAGTTGTCAAGGTTCCGACACGGAATAACAATATACTTGATTTGATTTTTACAAATATCGCGGATTTCTATATAAATCCTGAGGTCTTAGCACCTCTATCAACATCAGATCATAACTTTGTGTTGTGGAAAGCGATAACTGATGCCTCTGTAGTAAAAGCTGGAAACATAATAAAGGTAAGAGTGAGAGATCTCCTCCAGACAAGTAAGGACATTTTTAATGAGTCATTTCAGACAAAGAAATTTCATGAAAATTGGAAAAAATACAAAGTAACTGGGATTCCTAAGATCACACCATGTACAATCGCTGAAAACCTTAGACCGATTGCATTAACCACTGTTTTATCAAAAGTTCAGGAATCCTTTACCAACAAGTGGATTAATGAAGATATATATATGGGAATATTTTCAGGGCTCCCAGGATCTTCGACTTTGTATGCCCTTCTAAATCTACTCCACAACTGGTATAGAGCAATGGACGAGCCACAAAGAGTGATCGAATAATTTTTCGTGACTTTAGAAAAGCGTTCGATTTAATTAATCATAACATACTGCTAAGAAATATGAAAGATATGGGAGTTAGATTGGCCTTAATCCACTGGTTTGGAACATACCTCAATAAAAGATCCCATTTTACTTAATTTGGGAATTTTATGTCTGATTATGCATATATCAATGGCGGAGTACCACAAGGAAGTAAACTCGGATCAATTGCCTTTGTAATAAAGATTGATAAACTTCCCTCTGTAATAAAACGAAATTCAACTCATGATATCAGCCAACATGGAAACTAATGTTATATTTGAACGTGATACATTAATGTTTATGGATGACACTACATTATACGAGGTACTAGATGTCAGCCACCATATTTCTTGAAAGCAACTGGGTGGTGCTGAAAGTAAAGTTAAGAGCGTTTTTAGGTTTACTGAAGAAGATATGATGGAGTTAAATCAAACGAAATGTAAAGAAATGATAATTGACTTTTGGAAAAATGTAACTGTTATTCCACCGATAGTCATGTATTTGAAAGGGTTAAATGTTACAAATTACTTGGTTTATGGATTGATGACAATTTGAAGTGGTCAACTAACACATGCTATATTGTTAAAAAAGCTGTAAAAAGACTGTAATTTCTAAAGATGTTAAAAGGTTATAATGCACCAAAGCAGGATTTAAAATCCTTTTATATAGCTGTCATAATATTGTGCTCAAATTTGGCATGGAAACTTAACCAAGGAACAGTCTACTGACATAGAACGAGTTCAGAAGGGTGCGCTTAGGATAATTTGTCCTGGACTGACTTATGAAGAAGCATTGCTGGATTGTAACCTTAAAACATTAGAGGCTCGCAGAGAAGAGATGTGCGGAAACCTTATAAAAACAATGATAGACCCTAGACATATAGATTACACAGTTTATTGCCAGAAGCAGTTAATCAGATAATATAGAGACAAACTAGATCAAATGGACAAAAACTGTATAATTTTGGATATCGAACTGAACGATTTAAAAATTGCCCAATTGTGTATGTGATTGAATGTTTCAACCGAACGCTGGAGTCGAAGTAAATTTATCGAATTCTTTCAATATTTTTTAAATTTTTATTTAAGATTACTTCTAAATATTGCCTCTTAACATTAGTCTTAGTTAATTTTTTTATACAGTTTAAATGTAATTCACATTGTAAATTAGTATTTAATATTTACTATTTAATGTGAAATTCTAGAAGGATTAAAGAATAAAGATTAAAGTGATATAGGCACTTTAAAACAAACTTACCTTCGTTAACGTCGGCGCTCCCTTCTTTTACAATACAATACAATACAATATATTACAATACAATACAATACAATACAATACAATACAATACAATACAATACAATACAATACAATACAATACAATACAATACAGTTCAGTACAATACAATACAATACAATAAAGGTTTATTCACAATGAAACTGAAGCATGCAATTACAGTGACAGAGGAATAGGAAAGTTTGAGGTTATCCCCTATATTAAACTTCGTTAAATAAAATAATTGTTAAAAATTACGAATTAAAATTACAATTACAAATATATGAATAAATTAGATCTTTAAATAGTCCTTCAGGGCTTTTTTGAATGCTGAAAAGTTATTAGCCTCTAAAACGTATTTTGGCAAAGCGTTCCACAAGCCGGTAGTCCTTACAAAAAAGAAGTATTTGTAACAGTTCACTCTACTTGCCTTAATTTAACACATAGTTTATACGCGTGATTTGCTCTAGTTCACTTTACTCTAGGCCATTCGAAAAAGTCCGAGAAGTTTAGCTTGCATAGCCCAAAGACAATTAATTTTGTAGCATTCAAGTAATGATAAATAATCCCTCCGTAAGGAAAGTGTTGTCCACCCCAGGATCTGGCATCTTTCTTCGTACGACATCTCACCTCTCTTTTGACGCAAAGTAGTTTCGCCATTTTTTCTTAAAAAGCTTTTGAAATTCACAAAATCTTGCGAAAACGAAATATATTTTCAAGAAATCATCAAATCAAGAAATGTTTGCTGTTTCGCTGCCGTCATGCAGTCGTTATAATGCAAATTTTAAATTTGACCAATCAGTGTTTGCTATTCATGACAGTCCGCCATATTTTTTAGTCAGTAAGGACGACCACGCATCGTTGGTCATCCACGCCCGCGATCATTGATGAACTTCAGATTTCCCCAATGCTTTCGTTTCCCCGGGTGTAAACAGCCGTGGAATTAGTTCCCTCGCCCCAGGCTTACTCCCAGAACGGCACTTCGCGCCGTTGTCTCGGAGACTATAACATGGAATTTAGTTGGCAGCTTTTTCTGGTTAGGTTTTGAGAAATGTACAAAATCGCCAATCGAATTTACAAATTTACAAATTATCATTAATTGGATATGTTTTATCCACCTTTTAGGCCGTCACATATCTGCTATATCTTTCAAGTTCGTTGCACATGTCGCGAGGCTAAAAAATTTCCGCCATAACACAATGTATATTAGTCATGAAATACAAAGCCCCCATTCACTAGTTTGCACAATAGGTAGAAAATAGACTTGCAACTTTGGTATTATTCGATCAATGTTTCGTTCACGCGATCTTGAAATCGCGCGTGTTTCCATGGCAACATAGCTGCCACGCGCGGTTAAAAGCAATATGGTGACTGAAACAAGTTGGTCACTCAAACTTTTAAAATTGAATAAATGTTGTATTCATTTTGAGGATGTTTCACAATCACTTCTAAAGGTCACAGAGAAGCGTCTGAAGAGATATGTTGCTTGTCGTGAGAAATTGGCGAAGCTCAAAGACCAGAAATCTGTCACAATTCGGACTTGTTTACTAGCGAAGATGGGGCCACCACTTAATTATACCCCCACCCCCCCCATAGACGAGAGTTTCTGAGGGGTAAGGCAAAAATTTCTTAATTTCTGGGGGGTGTTTGTGTCGGCACTTTGATCTTTTCTTCTTTATAGGGCCTTATATGGGTTCAAATTTTATCGAACTCGTCCATAGGGGCCGGGTGTACATTAAGTTTAAAGTGCGGTACAGTCTGTATGTAAACAAAGGCTTTGTTTACATGTTGGTATCCAAAACATTGAATTTCATTCGACAACTATTTATATTTTCATGATTCTAGAGTATAATAAATTATCAAGACACAACAATTACGCTTTTACTGTTTGTATAATAAAAAGAGGGCTCCTTTGTGCACATGCACAGATCGGACTGCACCGCATCTTTAATGTCCAGACCCCCGCCCCCCCCCCCGTCCTCTTTGCATGAATTTCTCTGAAAGGTGACCCCAAAGTCATTTCTGTGCAGTTAAGCCTGTCGGCATACTTTGATGTTTTTTATTGTTCTAAGGGGTAAGGGAAAATTTACAAATATCAGAGGGGTTTTGTGTCAGGCTGTCAGCACTTTGATCTTTTTTTTCTTGGGAGTTAAAATTTTACTGACCTTATCGATAGGAGGGGGATGTGGATATTATATAGATAGCCCAATGTAGAAGGGCATTTTTCACGCTCTAACTGCTGTGGGGAACTCAAAGGGTGTTTGGGTGCCCAGAAGCGGCTACCATGACCCTCCCAACAAAAAATGACCATAAACATTTTGCTAGTACATTGGGAAAATTGGCCTGAGCCTCAGTTGTATAGGGTCAGAAAATTTGCACCAGGTGGTCCCCAAAAGCAGGAATTGGTGAAATTGTGAAATTCGGGAACCCCCTTTATAGTCGACATACACAGGGGAAAATTTGTTATTTTTAAGGAATATGGTTTGAAAATTTTTTTCTTTCCCACCCCCAACTTAAGTTTGAAAAAATAAGGCCTCACTTAAAAAAATAAATGGGGGGGGGGGCCTCAGGAGGTACCGGTAACTCGACTGGTATTACCATGAGAACTGTTATAAAAGACTTTGTGATTAAAACAAGTTGCAAAAAGTGGAGGAAAAGAGAACATGAGGCAGTGAAATCTTAATTGGCTGTGAAGTTGCAGACTGTTCCACCAAAGAAGCTTTTACACTCATCACTTGACAATGATGGTCCCCAAAATAGTGACATGAAGGCTAGATCACCAAATGTTTTGCTCCCCGTATGCATAATATGCGAGAAACAATCCGATTTGTTCAAATGTCATGGTATGTCTTACATTGTAATTATATGGTATATTTATCATTAAATGAAATCATTATACAGTTGCTAGTAAATGGTACAGCGATCACGTAGCAAAATAATCACCTGAATAATATTTATTCCAAAATTATTACCCGTGAAGAGTAACCCTTGTTGAGACTTCAGATGCAGGTCTATTGCGCGAAGCTGGCACAAAGAAAAAGGACAACTACAGGATCTTATTAAAAATTGTGGACAAGATTGTGTTGCCACTGAGGCTAAGTACCATAATAAGTGATACAAGAATTATACTAACTATTTGTATGGACAGGATAAGACATCATGTGAAACAACTTCAATGGTTTTGTACAACATGGGATATGATGATAATCACAGCGCTACACAGTCCATATTGAATGAGCTACAAATTCTGTATCATGCTTCTATATTGCTTAAGAAAAAGCTAGCCACTGTGAAGTGGCTTATGGACCCTTGGCTGCCTGTACGTAGCTGAATGAATAACTTTACTAAATGAATTTCTTGTATAGAAGTTACTTTACAGAGTGCAATTAAAAGCAGATTTTCGATGTTCAGTGATATTGCCTGTTGAGTAATGTGCCTGTTGAGTAATAATAAGTCATAGCTTGCTTGTGTGCAGCGTGTATTGGTAAAATTTGGCCATGAAATATCAGAAGTACTCCAAAAGAACTGTCTGATCATGGTGAAATTAGTTAGACTGGCGACATGTGCAACAGATTTCATCTTCTAGGTTTCTTTCCAAGGCTTTAGATGACAGGTGTTTAATTTGAATTTTTTAGTCGCATTTTAGTTTTCTGACTTGCATAACCACTATAATTCACACACTGTAGTGCACAATTTAAGGTACTAGTGCAAAATAAGCCCTTTTCCTGCATACAGTTTGTCAATCATTATAAGGTTTACTGGAGAAACAAAAATGCTGACTCAGCATTTTTAAAAATCTCGAGCGTGATATCTCGGTAACGAAGGACTGAAAGTTTTCAGTGTAACATAGTTTTTTTGTCCAATTATGTACCTCAATCTGACGGTATTAAACATTTTTCGAAATTCGAACATTTTTACCTTTCCAACCTATAGATGACCTGGGGCTTTTTATATTATTTGGTTTGGCATGCTCCTCTAGAACTTTATGAAAGAAATCATTAGCCTCCCGATGTGTTCAACGAAAATCACTTTCTAGGCATATATTTAGCCTTATGTGACGGCCTATTTAGACATGTTCTGCATAATAATGGACCTTTCCCCTTATAACTAAAATTTTGATCTAGGCAAAAATTTCATCACAGCTTGAATGAGCATCACAAAATTAGTAATGTTCCAAAGTTTCGTTGCGAAATGTTGTAAAATGCGGATAATATATATAATTATAGCCTTACGAAATTGCCGTTTTTCAGTCGTTTTGCATACGCATAGGAAATAGCAGCCCAATCGGTGTTGGGGCATCAATTTCCCGTTTGTAATACAAAATGACTGAAAATTGCAAATTTCGCAGGGCTATATTATCGGCATTTTACAACATTTCGCAACGAAACTTCGGAATATTACTAATTTTGTGATGCTCTTTCAAGCTGTGATGAAAAGTTTGTCTAGACTTGTCTAGATCAAAATTTTAGTTATAAGAGGAAAGGTCCATTGGTATTAAAATATTACAGGTTTGCCTGTCAGGATTCGGGGACGAGCAGGTGCAAATGGTATTGGACGTGTGGAAATTTTCTACAATGGACAATGGGGAACAATCTGTGATGCAAGTTGGGATTTAATGGATGTTTGGGTTGTATGTCGTCAACTTGGTTATCGATATGCCAGGGCTCTTCAAAGGAGGAATGTTCCTAAAGGAATTGATCAGATATGGTTTGATAAAGTCAGATGTACTGGACGTGAACAAAATTTGATCAGTTGTTCTCACGGTGGATGGGGAATTCATGATTGCAGGCATAATCAGGACGCAGGGGTAGCATGTTCTGCAAGAGGTAAACTTATAATATAGTTTTTAGTTTCTCGCATCGAATTATAGCAGTACACTAGCAAACTATATAGTACTGTTATAAGTTCTTTGTATGTTTGCATGGCGATATATAATTGTTTTGTTTGTGGAAACACCACGTAAATAAATTGCAGTAATAAATGTAGGTGGTGTTTCCACAAACAAAACTATTATATAGTACTGTTCTATAATTATAATGAATTTCAAAAGATACGGCAATTATAATCAATTCAATCCTGGTGCTCTATGCCCGTGTACTTTAACTATTTCTGGCAGAAGTTGATGCTGATGATGCTATGGGGACGATATTCAATCGTCCTCTTCTTGCTTTAGTAGTATGCGTTTACCTTTATAGGTTCTTTGGCATTAAATTTTACTGGTAATGATATAACCCAGCATGGCATATCCATTGCATCACCTCAGACATTGGAATCTATTACTGCGTGTTTTTGGACATCTGCTCCTGAAGCGTATGTCAAGGATCATCGTGCCACTCTGTTATCCTATACTACGCCCAAAGGGAAAAAATGGTGGTGGGGGAATGATTTTCTGTTAGTGTTACGACCACGCCTGGATTTTTTTATAAACAGTAAACATTACAGGTATGACGTTGACTCGTTGTTTTCTTGTTCAACTTGTCAGTAATTAACTAATAACACATTCTACTGTAATGTTCAAGATTTTATTTATCAGAATTTGAGAGAAAGCACAAAAAATTCGATGAATACAGCCACAACTGGAAAATTAGTCTGCATGAAAACAAGAATTCCTTTACAAGTAATTATTTGAGTTCTAGCATACAATAATCAAAACTACAACAAAACCATTGAAATATTTTTCAAGAATTGAATCCAATTAGCGAGTCCGAAAACTTATTAAACTCAACCACATCCTGGAACCAAAAACCAGTGCTCATAAAATTCAACTTGAGGAGGCTTTCTACAGTAACGCAACCACACGGTAAAAACAAAACAAAGTAATTGAGTTTTTGTTTTAAGCAAAATGCTATAGAAAAATTGTTTTTGATAAAAAAAAGTGTTGAATAATCCTTTGTTTTGAATGCCAAATCAATTGCTAGTCCATACAGCAATTAATTCTACATATGATACGAATATCACAGGACCAAAAATCTAGCTACCAAACAATGTTTTTAAAATGTTTTTTGAAAACAATGTTTTTTGAAAAACATACATTCTAAGCTGTAAAACATTTGCTAAATTGTGCACAAAGTTTTAATAAACATTTAAAAGTCGTTCAGAAATACGTTTGTGTTTCTACATTTTTCTACATTTTTCTATATTTTTTCAGTACGGACCTCCCAGCCGGTAAATGACATATATATATATAAATCAACATCTAAAGAGTTTGAATTTTTGCCCAACAGTTACGCAACTGCCGTTTCTATGGCAGCAATGACGTTTCAAAATGACAAATATTTTGGCTTTAAAGTAATTTATCATCGGGGTTACCGATGCCGTTTCCAAGTTAAATTACTTTAAAGCCAAAATATCCGCCATCTTGAAAAGTCATTGTTGCCATAGGAACGGCAGTTGCGCAACTTTTGTGCAAACACTTCAGATCTTGTTTTATGTAAGTAAGGGACTTTTTGTTTATCAACAAGTAATAATTGTCCAAACTAATACGCATAAAAATCGCGAATTTTGCATTGAGCCACCTTAAGGATAATTTCGCGAGTTACACGAGAGTATTTTACACCTTAAATTGCATGTACTCATCGATAACATATCCTCAAAGTTTTACCTCAAATTTTAAATCTAAGAAGTTTAACATATTTGAAATTTTAAAAAATTATTCACACTGGAAATCTTGTTATAAAACATTCGCTTTTAAAGAAGATCGTACTTAAATGTTCTCAATAGTTGCAGAACATCATGTTGTATTGATATATGAAATAAAAAAGATAGTTCACCAGATTACTTTTTCAGATAATTTAAACCAATTTTTTTGCTAAAGTAAGACGAATTTAAAGCTTCAGCATGTTGCCATGGCAACAGCTACATTGTCAAAACCAAGCTCTAAACATTCCAGTAACGATGGGTACTGCTGTCAAGTAGAAACAAATGCACGATAAGCGTTACATTAGGGACAACTGTAGAAAGCCACCTTAAACGGAGGCTAACTTGGAAGCTATAATTTCTTTGCTCTTTTATTTCACGTTTTATCGCCTTTAGCGCCTTCTTCTCCGGACGTTGACGAATCTGTTTATATCCGTATATCAGCTTAAATACAAATATGTTTATATCCGAATCTTTTTATATCAGTTGTCAGTCTGTCCAAATAAAGAAGAGCAGATCGTACAAAAATGCTCAAGCCTTGTGTCGTGATGACGGAGAGTGTCTTTTTATTTTGAATAGTTCTGGCTTGATCGTTGCCGACGGGAATCTCCATCACGTGTGTTTCACATGGGATTCAGGAAACGGCAAAACACAAATATACAAGGACGGTAATTTGAGTAAAATAATGGTTAATGTCCGAATTGGAAAAAAAATTAAAGGTGGTGGAATATGGGTGATCGGTCAGGACCAGGATTCTTTGGGAGGTAGTTTCCAAGCCGTTGATTCCTTCAAGGGTATCTTGACCGAAGTCAATATTTGGGACAGAGTTCTTGGTTTCGATGAGATAAAACGTTTCGCAAAGGATTGTGATTTGCTGATGCAAGGAAACTACAAGGCTTACGCCGATTTTGATATCTCCAGGGCTACGAGATTGATTAAACCGTCATCCTGTCATTTTGCCTCAATTCCTAAATCATGATATTTGTTTTGTTGATTAATTATAAACCTTTGCTTGTATCTTTAGAAAGATTTTCCGCTACGAAATCATATTAATTTACTGCTTAGCAAATAAATTAAAATTGCTTTGCTAAATGCTTTTATCTTTTTTGTCTTAAACAATATTTTTTCCCGAGGACGAAGTAGTTATCGTTGAATATAGATCGTGATTGATTTCAAAATTAGAACTCGATAGAGCAAATTTTGCAATTTTGAATGGAATAGTTCCGAGTTGTAAAAGGCCCTCTCTTTACCCCAGAGAATATAATATTATTCAAATTTTTGAACCTTTGAATCCTGATTTCATTCATTTGGAGAAAAACGTATGGATATATTTCATACATGCAGAATGGATTGATCAAACAAGCAGTGTCTGTTTATAATCTTCAACTATCTTTGCTTTTTTAGGTATAGAATATATATTAATATTAGAAAATACATGCATGCAGAAACCCTCGCCTTGCTGACAAAACCATTGCATTGTGGGGAATGTAGTATGAAAGACCACACAAATAAACCAGTTTTAAAACGTATTTTTACACGCCTCGCCTCTCTGTTTACAGCCTAACACCCAAAGTCCAAGTCGTTTTGAAATATCCTCATAGTCGTTTTCAAACATTTTCCCATTCTGTGAGATCTTGAAAAAACATTTTTCAGCTTCTTGAGTTTCATGTGTTACTAGAGAGTTACTTCTCCTTAACTTCGAACGACAGTTATTACTGAACCTTCGTATCCATGCAACTACTCGAATTACTTTCCACAGCTTAAACTTATTCAACAAGTCTTGTATCATGTTTACTTCACTGCCTATCGCAACGAAACTCAACATTTTAACAACCTTTTCTTCATCGGTCACCTCTTTTGTTTGTTTGGGCTCACAGCTCCCTTCGGGCCAATCAACTTCGTTTGCTAACCAGTCTTGTCTTTTCCACCACAAGTCTCCAAGATTATCTGCTTTACAACCTCTACTCCCAATATCTGCTGGGTTCTCTGCTGTAGGACAATATTTCCACTGTAGGTTTTCTTTTTTACGAATCTTAACAATTCTGTTCGTGACGAACTGCTTCCATTCTCTGTTAGTGCTCATTATCCAACATAGAACAACCATACTGTCTGACCAAGCAAACGTGCCAGGGATGTTATATCCTTCCAATGCTGTTCGAACGTTCTGCAGAAGATTGGCCACCATATGCGCACCAACTAATTCCAGTCTCGGGATTGTCTATTCTTTCTTTGCAATCCTTGACTTGTATATTTCCCTTGCTTAACGACATCGTAGATTGCTTCACAGCATCCTTTCCAGCTAGCATCACCAAATCCGTGCAGTTTCACTTCTGTTAATGGAAGCGGAAGACATACTATGCTTCGAGGAACAGTTAGTTCATCAGGCAATTTCTTTAGCCACTGATGCCAAATTAATTCCATCTCCTTTTCCATGTGTGCATCCCATAGTAATTTTTTCTCGCAGACAATTCGGTTTATGTTTCGCTTCCAACATGACAGGAGATACCATCCCCAAAGGATCGTAAACCTTTGCCATAGCCCTCAAGATTCCTCTCTTTGTGTATTCCTGCGTTGCCTTACAACTTGTAAAATCAACAGCTAAAGTGTTCTTTAGTTTGTTCCATTTCAATCCCAACATTCTCGCTTCGGCAGTCTTTGTTCCGAGACTTTCTTTCGCGTATGTTTGTTCCGAGTCATTGTTCTCTGGTTCTTCTAAACTGACTACAGAGCAATGCCACTTGTGAAGTGTGAAGCTTCCCTGGTCAAAGATCTCTTTGGCTTCCTCTTTGATCTTCCCCACCTCTTGCTCGCATGTGCCGCCACTAATTACATCATCAACATAAAGATCATTTCTTAATTCAGCTACAGTTCCTGGGTAGTTCTGTTCCAAAGTGTTCAAATGTTCTTGCAATGTTGCCCCAAGCAAAAACGGACTAGAAACACAACCACAATGTCCTTGTGATCCAGGTCAGAAATCCAGAAAAACCGGAAGACGTCACGATCTTTAGGTTTGATCCATATTTGGTGGAAGGCTTGTTTCACATCAGCAGTCAGCCCAATCGGACACAAACGATTTATCACGACGACGTTGTGCAAGAGAGTCTGCAACGGTGGGCCTGTCTCAAAACAATCATTAAGAGAAGCAGCTTGAGCAGTTTCACGAGAGGAGGCATCGTAGACTATGCGCATTTTCGTAGTTTCAGCGGACTCTTTTATCACTCGTCGATGTGGTAGATAAAAGACGTTATCCCCCGTTGGCACATCCGGTGCTGGCTCAACGATTCCTTGATTGAATTGATCTTGAATAATGTTGTGGTATTCCAGCAAAGAGTCCGGGTCTCTTTACATCTTCTTAAGTAATCTTCCCAAACGAGCTTTGGCACTAGTCGCATTATCTTTCAGTGGTGGGTGTACTGCTTTCCATGGCAGACAGGTGATATAACTTCCATCCGGGTTCCTTTGCAACGACTCTTTAAATTCTTCATGCACCATATTTTGGTCTCCCATAGGGTGATCTTGTAACCCCAGCACATCCAAGTTGCAGAGTTTCTCATCATCCTGTTGTAATGTTTTGGCAAAATAACTAATGTGTGACTCATTTTTTCCAGGACCCATCACCGTCCAAACAAAAATTGTCTTCCCTGCAACAGGTTGATTGACATCTCCGACTCGGCATGTAGACGTCTTGATCCACGATAAGTCACCGACTCCAAGGATCAGATGAATTGGCAGTTGCTCACGGTTATCTTCGTTGTTGAAACATACTCCTCTTAAATGTTGAAACTGCTTTTACATCTCTCCAATTTTAGGATTGCTTAAAGTCGTGATAAAAGTTTTGTCCAACATAGTCAACGAGACAGCTAGCTCTTCTTTACCATCAGTAGATAATAACTTGACATCATAAATAGGTAACTTCTGACGTACTGTTGTTGTCACGGTTTCAATGCTTTTTCCATTCTCAGCACGATGGTTTCATTCAAAGATGTCTGATATATGTCGAAGAAGCAAACGAGCTCCCAGCTCCGTTATCTAGCATAGCCCTGAATTTCTGCTCATTTGAAATCACTACTAATGTAGGGTGTATAGTCTCTTTAGGTGAACCAATCATATAGGGTAAATTAGATTGCTCCGTTGAACATAGTGAAGTGTGATGTCGACACCCATATTTAGCACAGTTCTTACTCCTGCATGTTGCCGCGCCATGACCACCTCCAGTACAATTATAGCATAATGTATTCTTCTTTAGAAACTCTCGTCTCTCGCTAACTTCTTTCACTTTACTACACTCGCTGCTTTGATGCTCACTTGATTCACAATATACACACTTGTTTGGCTTTTTCTCAATCGACCGGTAATGCCTTTCTTTTCGATTAAATTGTTCGGTTCGCCTAGAACCCCCAAATGTCCGATTAAGGGTGTCATCTTTCTCTGGATTTCTTAACGTGTAATCTCTTAGGGCTTTTAGAAATTTCTCAAAACACCAACTTTGCCAATTTGGATCAGTACGAATAAGGTCAGCCTTGATTGACCCTAATTTTCCAGTGTTTCCAGGACTATAATCTCTGCAGTGTCTAGTTTCTCTAAAGTTTTCAGCGAGTAAACACTGACATTTAAGGAACGATAAAACCCGTGCATTTGTTTCAAATTATCTGTAGTAATAGTGTTAATTTCAAAATTTCTCTACCATTGGCTTGTATTATTTCAGAAGTGTTTCCATATTTTTCTTTAAAAATTTCTATGGCCTTGTTGTAGCCTTCTTCACTAAATGGCAGTCCGATAATTTCTTTCTTTGGTTGATCATCACGCAATTCTCTCAAATAAGAAAACTTTGAAATTGTCGACATATTTGTCCTATTTACTTCCGCCTCAAATTGTTCCCAAAAGCGAAACCAGTCTAAACACGTACCTTTGAATGGTGTTATCGTTAGCTTGGGTAATTTAGCAGTTTGTTGCTCCTTTTTAAACCTTTCTAAGCGTTGCAATTCTAGTTACTCGTCCAAATTTCTTTGACGAGCCTTTCGCTTGTCCTTTTCATCCAAAATTCGAAGTCGCTTCTCCGCCTCTCGCTCGTCAATTTCCTGTTGTTTTCTCTCGCCGCCTTTTACGTTCGTTTTTCGACTCGATTATATCTTTCGTTTGTTCTCCCAGGCGTTTCAACATTTTCAAATTGTTTTTAAGTCGTATTTCCGCAGTTTCCATAGCCGATTTAACCTTAGAATTATCCATTTCAGGCGTCGATCCAGTACTTTCGTATTCGGCTTCTGCTTGTTGACTTCGCGTTGTTGGCATAATATATTTTCCGCAAAAGTTCAGTAAATCACGATAACTTACGAGTTTCCATGTTGAGTAAAGTTTAGATACATCCTGCCGGGGTCGCCACCTTTGTGTGGGGAATGTAGTATGAAAGACCACACAAATAAACCAGATTTAAAGCGTATTTTTACACGCCTCGCCTCTCTGTTTACAGCCTAAAACCCAAAGTGCTTACCTAAACAGTTTTGTAATTACTTAGTTAATGTCAATATAAATTATAATATTAATGTTAATATATTGAGATCACGACACCATCTTCCGAAAATGAAGTATCTAAATTAGTTGTCATGGTAACACGAAAATTTTTTAAGAATATTCTTACAAATAAAAAATTGCTTTTTTAATATAAAACTAAACTGCCTCTTTATTATTTAAAAAATCTATATAATAAAAAAGGGAATAGATGTTAATAATACACTGAAATTATATGCTGCCTTGTTTAGCTGTTTCATATACGCAAAGGCCGTCGGGTTTTAAAGCAATTATCAAGTCAATAAGTCAATATTTAAAACAAACTTACCTTCGTTAACTTCGGCTCTTTTTTTTAGCCGTTTCTTTCGCCCTTTCTTTCTGAGAGAGCTTTCCAAATTTACAAAATCTTGCAAAAATGCGAGCAAAAATGCAATATATTTGCAAGAAATTTATCAATCATCAAATCAAGAAATGTTTGCTATTTCGCTGTCGTCATGCTGTCGTTATAATACAAACTTTGAATTGGACCAATCAGTGTCCGCTATTCAAAACAGTCCGCCATATTTTTGAGATCTGTGAGGATGACCACTCACCCAACACCCCAACATCGTTGGTCACGCCCGCGATCAATGATGAACTTTAGACTTCGCTAATGCTTTCGTTTCCCCGTGTGTAAATAGCCGAGGGGAATTAACCATTGAACTATAAGTAAACTGGAACGATAAGTTCGCTGCCATCTTTGGAGCCGGCCATGAGTGTTTTCTGCAGGTAGCCCCAGTCCTTTTTTTATAGGAAAAATCTTGCCCCCAAAATATTAGTTATACCAGCAAATTTAATTTATATCAATATGATAAACAAATTTAATATTCGCAAATCAAACAAATCACGAATTAGCAAAAAAATACGAAAAAAACACGACCATAAGCATTAACGGTCAGAAAAACCGCGCGTTTTAAGCTGCTTTTTCTGAGTTTTTTAAAGTTTAAGATAAAACTAAGATATCATACCTCAGGAATTATTTAAACCCATTCAAAATACATCTGTATGCGAAGTTTCAAGAAGATTGAACGTTTTAAGGTCGAAAAAAAAAACAATTAAAAATTGACAAAAATATTTCCATATTCAAAGTGCTCATGCATGGTGGCGAACAAGAAGCCGATGACGAAAATAACATCACTTGAAAAACGCCAATTTAATTATGTTTTAGAAGGAATGAAACAAGGACTAAAAGTTCAGGATCAATAACAATACCTGGGGTTTAGTACAACATAAGTTTTGGGACAACGTAAATCATGATATCCTTTTAAAGAAACTTGAAATGTAGGCTACGGTTTTGGAGAATTGGCGCTCGCGTTACTGTGTAATTATTTGACAAACCGAACTCAAAAATGCAATCTTCAAGGAATGCTTTCAAAAGAAAGAAAAATAACTTGCGGCATTCCTCAAGGAAGTATACTTGGCCCTCTTCTCTTTACTAGATATAATAAACGGTCTGCCAAATTGCCTTAACCCTATTTGTACCGGGGATGTGCACAATGAGCGCACCCCTATTAATATTTATCCGTCATTTCTGAACAAATGATCCCATTTGCCTGTGCTTTCATGACTTTTAATATTTTTACCTCTAATATTTTAATATTTTTAATATTTGTCATGACTGCGAAAAAAATTCGCTGAAAATTCAAAGTTGTCCGGATGTTTTCCGACATTTGTCAAACAAGGTGTTGAGGCCAAAAATGGGAAAATGTGGGTTGGACAGTATTTTTTGGCTGAATCACTTCCCAGGACATAAATAACATAGTATAATTAGAGAACATATAAAGATGGATTATTACACATGATTTGCACTGAAATACCCATAATATATTATATAAAAGAGTAAAATATAGTATATAAAATAGTAAAGTATAGTAACATATAATATAGCATACTATACAATACTTTAAATATAATATAAAATACATATTTATAATATTTTTATATACTCAAATACACATATTTCTTTGTACCTTCAAGGCATAACATCTCCCTGTCTTTCTGCATTATATATTGAACACTTTCGTAGAAGAAATGTTCCAAAACGTTTGCATAAAGCGAGGCATAAAGTTGCCACTGATTGCCATGATTTTCAAAGTAAACATTGCGTTTTCAAAACTATACTGAAGGCTCGTAGCTCGTAACTCACCTGCCTTACGCTTCATGTAACACATAGTATATTGGTATAAAACATGGCTGCCATTACGTTTTTTTCTACAAACATTTGTTGGTCGACTTCAGTGTAACGTTTTATGTTTACACTAAAGAAGTTATGCCAACAAAAAGTGCTAGAGTTTCAACAGAATGCTATGCTTGCCCGAAGGGGACAAAATTACGAACATGTACATATAATTTCCATTACGCAAATATCATTTCCATATGTCCAAATATCAGTTTCAATCCAAATTCGTCGAAGTTGAGAAAAAAATCGTCAAAGTCGAGTACAAAATCGTCAAAGTCGAGTACAAATTCGTCGATGTCGAGTTGAAATTCGTCGAAGTCGAGTTGAAATTCGTCGAAGTGGAAGTTGAAATTCGTCGAAGTGGAAGTTGAAATTCGTCGAAGTCGACAAACAAATCGTCGAAGTCGAATGCTAAAAACATTTCTTCGTCCAGTATGATAATTTTTTTATAATATATACTGATACGTCATAATTATGCAAATAATTATGTCGAATCGATGCAACGATAATGCAACGTATATGATAAAGCCCAGCAAATGACTTTCAGACAATTAAGACATAACAAAAATATAAAATTTATTGGCTAACGTTTCGTTGTATTGTTTACAACATGTTCAGAGCAATTAAACTTATTTACAAGTGTGTATTATATATATACAAATATTTTCAAACGGTTTTTCAAATCCAAGCTCAATCTTTGCTCGACTCTAATTACTAACCATTATATATCTTTAATTTACTATTAATATTTTTAATGGCAGGTACCGGTTGTTTTCATCCTTCCTCTTATTCGCTTATTTGAATATTGGAACAGTTTGAAACTATTTGTATATATATATATATATATATATATATATATATATATATATATATATATATATATATATATATA